AAGGGAAAAACATTCGGCAACATCAGAAGCAGAAGCGTCGCGATCTGGCAACATTGAAACAAGTTTCAAGAAGGACCATGTGTATCGACAGAAGGCGAGAAGAGAAAATTTACATACTTAAGTACTAATAGTTCACGAAAATAATAATTTTCGTGAACTATTAGTATTTAAGTATGTAAAAATTTATTACATTTCCTGTTGTACGAGGGTTTTACTCAATTCTCGAACCGTGTCAGAGTGAATCCGTGCTATAAAAGTACCTTGTTATATGGGGGATGGTACCAATTCTCGAACCGTGTTAGAGCGAATCCGTGCTATAGAAGTGCCGTGTTATACGGGGGTTACCTGTATCATACAAAAAAGTCAAAGAACTAAAAAATGATCGCACCCGCCAAATTCTGAGTATTGAAGACAAAGATGGAAAAGCACATTTAACCCCAACTGATATAATGGGCCATTGGAAAGAATATATTGGAAATCTCTATGGAGAGAACGCCAAATCTAAAGAGTTAAAATTGGAAAAATCTTCTCAAATAGCTAATGATGAAAGAGGACCTATTATCATGAAAGATGAAGTTGGATTGGCAATTAAAGAATTGAAAAACAAAAAGTCAGAAGGAGTAGATGGAATACCAGCTGAATTTCTAAAAGGGTTAGGCAAGGAAGGAATCGAGAAAATAACAGACTTATGCAATCTCATATATAAAACAGGAGAATGGCCTGAAGACTTTGCTCAAAGTATTTTGATACCTATACCAAAGAAAGCAAAAGCTAAAAAGTGTAGTGATTTTAGAACAATTAGTTTAATTTCACATGCCTCAAAAATCCTTCTTAAAATCATTAACAGAAGACTCTACAACAAGGCTGAAACATTTCTATGTGAAGAACAATTTGGATTCAGAAAAGGAACAAGGGATGCTATTGGCCTCTTGAGAACAATCTGTGAAAGAAACATTGAGGTTAATAAGGATACGTACATTTGCTTTATTGACATGGAAAAGGCTTTTGATATGGTTAACTGGACAAAGCTAATGGAAATCTTAAGAAAAATAGGAACAGATTGGAGAGATAGAAGACTCATTGCTTCACTTTATATGAATCAATCTGCCATTATCCGAACAAAAACTGGAGAAAGCAAACCATGCAGTATTGGAAAAGGAGTCAGGCAAGGGTGTACACTTTCACCTACTCTTTTTAACATTTATCTTGAGGAATTAATGAATGAAGCCATAAGTGAGGACAGTCTCGGAATTAAAATTGGAGGCCAATTAATACAAAGTATTAGGTTTGCAGATGATATTGCTTTACTTGCACCAAATGAACAAACTCTACAATGTTTGGTAACAAAACTCAACAAAACTTGCAAAAAATTTGGAATGAAAATTAACACAGCTAAAACAAAAGTGATGAAAGTTGGAAGGCTAATTAGCAAAGATTTGAAAATCCTAATTGATGGAAACAAAATAGAGCAAGTTCAACATTTTAGGTATCTTGGCAGCATTATTCAGGGAGATGGCAGATGTGAAAAAGAAATCAAAGAACGAATCAGGGCTGGAAAAATGGCTTTTTATAAGAAGAAGAACCTTCTTATTGGAAAAATGAACCAAACACTTAAAAAGAAGTTAATAAAATGCTTTTCCTGGAGCATAACTTTATATGGAGCAGAGACTTGGACCTTAAGGAAAAAGGAAACAAACTACCTTGAAGCATATGAAATGTGGTTATGGCGAAGAATGGAGAAAATCAAGTGGACAGAAAAGGTTAAGAATGAAGATGTTTTAAATTTGGTCCAGGAACAGAGATCTCTTTTAAAAACAATACAAAGAAGAAAAAATAACTGGCTAGGTCATATATTGCGAGGAGAAGGATTAATGCGAGTGGCATTAGAAGGAAAAATTGATGCAAGGAAACAAAGAGGAAGAAAAAGAAAAGTATTGATAGATGATGTTTTACTAGGCAAAACTTATAAAGAAATAAAAGAGGAAGCCCAAAATAGAGAGTTGGAGGAGGAGAATTCTATAATTTGACTGCTTTCCATGGACCTGTCCTAGGACAGAACACCCATGAATGAATGATATGAGATACAAAAAGATTCAAAATCAAGCTATAGACAGAACAGCAACAGTTGGCAAGATTTCCAGTTTCAATACCCGATGCCAATTCTGGCAGTATTGATACTTTAAGATTGATATAAATATTGATACCTCTATTGATATTTTAAAACTATTCATGATACTGGTATCGAGACATCCCTAGTTGAAAACATTATAATTTATTATTACGTAATTTTGATTTTAATGTATTAGTTTCTGTTCTTATATCATTAGTAGTGGATCCAGAAGAATGCAAATAGCAACTAAGTCAAAAATTTTAAATATTTGAATAATTGAAGTACAGTGGTATCTCATATTTCAAATGCTTTAGAGTTCAAACACTAAATTTGACAAAAATTTGGTTTGGAGTTTAAATAATGCTTCGAAGTTTGAAATGCCCACACACTAAAAGAATGTGCTAAAAGCATAAGTGCAATCTATTGCCTAATGAGAGAGAGATGACTTGTGCATGCTTGTATGTTTTCAGTATTTTTTTGAGTATATTTAGTGTGCTTGGTTTATACATTGTGTTATTCATTGATATTTAACAATTTCTTCCTGCAATTTTTCTTTGATGACAGCTTTTGGGCACCCAATATATTTTATATCTTTTAGTTTAAGATATCCTGGACAGATCTTTTTAAACCACATTTGACACCATCATCTATCAATATAGCTACAAATATAGCTATTAATACACCATAGCAAAGACAGCCCATTGTCATGTGCCCTTAATGGTGATATATTGTAAATTTAAAGACAGACCCTTATAAATCTTCCATAGAACAGTGTTCTCTTATGTAGACTATACTCTTATGTATTTACCTGTAGTATAATAAAAATATACCACGCAAGCATCTCGTTGCTATTGCAAACTAAAAGTTTGATATTACTGATATGCCTTACACAGGGCCAGATCATCACATAGACAAATGTCTAGGGCCCGGTTTAGATGGGCCCAGTCAAACTGTCTATTTTGAAAAGATTTGTAAATAAGACAGTTTACTTTTCCGTTGGACAACTGTATATAATAGCCAAATAAACAAAAATATATTGCTTTTTATATGGTTATTGTGAATTCTAAAATCTAAACAAAATATATTCTTATGTTTCTTCTTATTGAAAGTAATTCATTCTCAGTATTAAAACCTGTAAAAAAATTATTCATGAAACTCACTGAGTAAATCAAAATTAAATTCTTTAGCTGTTTTATACATCGAACAAAATGCTTTGGATAATATTATTTATAATGAAATAATTGATAATTTTGCTGAATTAAAGACTAGAAAACAGAATTTTTAAATAAAGTTTATTCATATTTATATACTGTATATCTGTGCAGATAAGACGATAGTTATATCATGAAAAAGGACCCCCAAAATCCAGGGTCATCTTATAGGATAGATACAAAAAAAAATTAAAGTAGAAATTTATATAAATTAAAATCATTATAAAAAAAACAGAAAAACCATAATTATTTACTAGTAGAGAGTAGGATATGTCCACAAAATAGAATAGCCCACGATATTTACAATATTTTTGTGAATAGTCAAGGTCATTACCCAAATGAACGGATCAGTGCGAATGTTTGCAACAATCGCAAGGCAGTACTGCCAGATGCAAGAAAATAAAATTTGAAGTTCTTTCATAAAATTACAAATAGGACATAATTCCATATATGCTAGCTATACAGTGTTATTATCCAGATGACAATCGCCGATCTAAACTGAATTCATAGGGCGTTGATAGTTTGGGGGTCGTCTTATAGGACACATGTATGCTAAAACTATAAAACTTTGACGAAAATTTATACCTTGTCTTACCTGAAAGTTGTCTTATCTGTGCAGATATACAGTACTTACTTTTTTAAAACTGTCTTGGCTTTTATTTTAATTATCTTTTTCATTATTCAATTTATCTTTCATGGGTAAAATATTATATTATTTAAATATTAACCAAAAAGGTTAAATTAAACAATTAATATTTTAAGATAATATTGTTATTGTATAACTACTACTGTTACCACCCGTCCGGTTTTCACCCGGACAGTCAGGAATTAACTTACTGTCCAGGTGAACTGTTAATTTTGTCTGGGAATTTCGTAGAAATTGTGAAATTAAGACGAAACAAAGTTCTTGCAAATATTTTTACAAATTTACACTATTTTAACAGCGAAAGAACTCGCACTCACCGAAACTCATCTGCAATTGTTCCATGTTAGTCTGTTTATGCAGACGTGTGGCACGCAACCTGTCGACTTTTTTTTGATTTTTGCACGTAAGATCGTACACATCTCCAATACCCAATAGAGCTAAGTCATCTCTACCCGTTCTTTCTTAATTTAGGGCTACTTACGTTACTCGTATGCAAGTCCCTAGTCCCTAACTGTAACTGATTTAGAACCGGCATGCATGTTATTCTTCAAATTGTAAAATGGCATCGCAAACGTCAGGAACTTCTGTTCAAACAAACCCGATCTTCCGTCCGGGTCAGCGATTATTGAAAAGGTGGCAACACTAACAACAACTTTTAGTTAGACATTTAATAAAATAAATTTCAATTTTTTAATTTATAAACAAACTGTTCAAACTTTTCTAGAAAAACTAAAATTTATTGTTGTATATTAAATATTTTTTTATTAATAAAAATTTAAGATTTGTTTTAGTTTTTCACATTATTTAATTTTGTTTTATATTTTTTGTGCACTCTATTTCTTGTGGGAGAGGGGGGCCCGGTAAGAAGAAAATGTCTAGGGCCCCAAAGTGGGTTAATCCGGCCCTGGCCTTACAGTTCATATTCATGCATCACATGAAAACCCAGGCACAAGCGCACAACCAACTACCTGCATTCAGTGCATACCTCATCTATTGAATTTATCAAGAAAAGCCCTTAACTGATTGATCGTTAGAAGGCATCTTAGGTCATTTATTTATACGAGCTAAATACCTAAAAGTAATTTGTACCAATGCTACAGTTAGGAAACTGCTGAGAAGAACTTATAATGTTTCTAATTTGAAAACGAAAATATAAATGCCATTATATAGAATTTAGACAGCACACAATTTAGTGACTAAATGTCAACAAACCTGCATGATACACTAATTTCTACTTTAGTTACAGGCACAGAAGCTCTTCCAGGTCGGAAAGTATCCCCACATTCTGCCATTCTCCAAGCTTTATGATGAAAATGGCATTAGTCATAGTAATATATAATCATAGTGCAAGTCTAAAACCCCAAGGCCGTTTCCGTGTGTACACATTACAAAACATTAACCGTTTGACGTCAGACGCCTTTCACATAAAACGGATTCAACGTGCAACACGCTTCTTATTAGTGCGCATATGAAATGTGGTTATGACAGAGAATGGAGAAAATCAAGTGGACAGAAAAGGTTAAGAATGAAGAGGTTTTAAATTTGGTCCAGGAACAGAGATCTCTTTTAAAAACAATACAAAGAAGAAAAAATAACTGGCTAGGTCATATATTGCGAGGAGANAAAATTAAACGAGCCGGAAACTTTATTCCACATAAAGGGGCGATGGTATAATATAAATAATGAATTTAATACTTTTTACGTAAAATAATATATATTATTGTTTATGAATATATTTTGTAAATTATAATAAAATATTTTATAAGAATGTTTTAATTAATTAGCAAAAAATACTGTTTAAAATATATAGTATATAAACAGACGATTTTAAAACACCGCCATCTGTTGATTTTTTAAAAATATTAATGTGATACCAGCGGATACACATATATCCGGCGCTCGGTCGTTAGTATTAATGACGTCAAAACTATTGATTTATTTTTTGATCTTTTAAATGAAACACTTAACTAATTGAAAATTTTAAGTTGTTAATCTTTTTTTCTTTCTTTCATTTTAAATTATAAGATTTTAATACATTTACAAACATATATCATACAACGATATATCAACGTCATTTGTGTTAAATATTCTATATTAGAAAATAAAAATAATAATAATACTCCACAGAAAACTTATTCGTATATTGGGACTATATTCCTACTTAGAAATTGGGAGTTTAAAACTTAGGTTAGATTTTAGATACATATACTATCATGGCGCCCGTCCCAACTGTTCGTACAGTACATAAGACTGACCCCTCCCGGAGGGGAACCGCCTTGTGTCAAATGTTACTAGTTATTGATTTGTGGTTGTTCTTGAACACACGTATCAATAACTAGTATGAAGTGCCGCCATGACAGTATACGTATCTAAAATTTGACAATTTTGACCAGTTATTGTTTGGGCGGCAACCTACCGCTCTGAGGACCCGGGATCGAATCCGAACGAGTCGACAAATGCCCAGGAATTTCTCGGGGGATAGTCCGTCCCTCACCACCCGGCTGAGCCCATAATAGGCTTGCTAAAAGAGGCCTTCTTGGTGCCCACAGGGCAAAAAGAGCGAAAAGAAAAAGTTTCTCCAGACGTCAGTTTTATATATTTTTAGGAATTATGATCCAACAGTTAAAAATGTTACGTTATATAGAGGTTACATTTTGTCAATCTACATTCGATTTTTAGGGTAGTTCAGAATTCCCAGAATATTCATTGACTTTTCTTTAAATAGCAAAGAGTCGCGCGTGATTTAAAACTGTCTTCACGCAATAAATGAATCGATTTTTTTTAATTGTGGTTTTAAATATTTCATCCATAGAGATTTATATCTTTCAGTTTGCAGGAATTGAACTTCAAAGGTCAAAAACATTTCTTCTTTAGAGCCTCGCATGATCGCCATATCGCATTTATTAACAACTTTTTAATCTTAAAATACTAATTTATTAATTAATTTATAAAACTGTCATGAAATAGGATGTCACACTTAAACGCAATTATTTGTAAATACTGTATTCTATAAATTCAAAAAGAATGTCGTGACTTTTGACCTTTACGAACTCTTAAAAACTCTGTGGGTCAAGCCACATATAACTTACTTAAAACATTAATTTTGAATAATCTGAAAATGATTTTAAAAATTTGCTCAACAAAATAACCGTCATAATAATTTTAATACTGTATTCTGGATATATTCACCTTATACACTTGGCAAGAGAGGTTATTTTTTTCTCTTCATTAGAGCATTTATTTAAATTACTTTTTTAAAATTAAGTACAAGTAAATAAATTACAATTAAAACTCATATTCAATTAACAAGACGAAATTTTGAATTTATGAAGGATTAAAGAATACAGTTTGTTTACATTTTTAGAAATCCCTCCTGAAAATATCAAACCTTGACCTATCTACATACTTTCTTAATTTGATAACCTTGAAAGTAAATAATTAATTGTAGTTCGTAAGGCCTTTTTTTTTACTTTTTCTATCTTGTGGCTAACTAAAAGAACCTTTGTTTTTTACTAGGCCCACGGTGGTTTCGGCCAAGCTGGCAATGGAGTAGATCGGTGGCAAGGACAACACCCAATGTATCCTCGTATCCAATGTATCCAATGTCCTGGGACGGATCGTATGTGAAAACTTCCCGGGTTCTTTTCTTGCCTGGAAATTATGCTGGATTCACAGAATTGGTAAGTAGATCCTTTAACTGCCTTGGCTGCTTCTTACTGTTTCATATGGAGATAACTGCCTTGGCCAACTGGCTAGTCCTTTATAAGACTTATAATTAGGATATTTTGGAACTTTTTTGTAAAGTACTAACCAATCTCAAAAGAACTTTTTGATATAGCTTCAATTGATGGCCAAATGGTCTAGACAATGTCAGCCTACTTCAGGGAATCGACTATCAAATCAGGGCAACCAACCCCAGGAATTTTCATGTCTAGCCTGTCGTAAATATATTGGGTCCCATCTCACCACACAGCTGTCCCTATTGAGGACCTGTTAAATGGTTACTTTTATTGTATTAAAACCAAATGGCCAAATGACAAGATTTTAGTCCAATTTGATTCTAAGATCTAGTAAAACATATCAAAATAGTTCATTTATATCGTAAAATTAATGCATATTTTAAAAATTTTTCCAGCTATTGCAGGTAAGCTGAAATTATATTTAGTGTTTTACAATTCAACAAAAAATATTTTCTGTGTCTTCATTAGCAAATTACAGTACTTGTATTAATATGAAAAACAGTTATAAAATCCACCATTACTTTCATTTCAAATAACAAGTCCATTACTGAATTTAGACTTGTTATACTAAGCTATAAGACAGGGGTAGCCAACTTTTGCGTGTATAAGATATACTTTTTATCTTAAAAATGTGTCACTATTGACTTGTTGTCGTAGGCATAGTCTAAGTGGGGAGGGGAAAGTGTGAAATACATACTATGTTTAGATACTCGTAAGTAAGAAAAGCCACAATTTAGTTTAAAACATGAAGAAAAGGTACTTATATTTTAAACAGAAGAAAAATTGGAACTCAACATTGTCACTTTCGGGGACCACCAGTTCACCCTTCCTCTCTCTACTCTCTAGAGAGAGGAAGGGTGAAGTGGTGTTCCGACCTACTGTCTCTGTCCCTCTTCCCGCCTTTCTTTTTATCTGTTTTACGATCCTTTGTCTACATTTCTTATTCTCCTTTTACAACTGTATGCAAATGGATTGCACACGGACCGACAAAACCGCACCTGAGAGAGAACACGGAGGTCCGATATCACTACAGTTGCCTTTGCGCGTTGCATTCGATTACAAGTGTAACAATTTAAATCAAGACATCGTGAGCAATCGACCAAAATTGGCTTTATGATTGACTTGTTGGCCACCCCTGCTATAAGAGATCTCCTCATCCCAGAATTTAAGCAAGAGGGCCTTAAACAATACCCACACAGCATAAATCCCAACAATACACACAGCTTGTTTAGCTTATGAGTACATCTGGCTCCACCAACTTACAAAAGTTAAATATATAAACACATTTACCATGCACTTGTATTAACAGCCTTGTCAGATTGAGATCACATAATAATAGCTTGCCAATACAGTACAACTAGAACCACTGATTATATGCCTCCAATGCAGTGGTGTGCAGTCCATGGAAGCACCGCTTTCCTTGTATCTTCTAAAATATAAATACATATTGTGCGATTATTTTTATATTTTAACGTACTTTGAATTAATTTAAATTAATATTTTACAGTACTGTATTATAACCACATTATGTATCTTATTACAAATTCCTATACTACAGTATATGTGAAAAAATTATAAGATTGCTATTGTATATTCGAATATAAATTCGTATATGCATATTCCCAATGGAAGCGCTGTATTGTCAAATATGGGACAGCTTCCACAGCAAAAATATTTGAATGGTGTAAAGCAGCCAGATTACAGGCATTTGTGCATGAGCTTTACTGAGCACCAATCCAGGCAGTTTAGCTGGTGGATTCTACACACCAAAATATCGTAAAATGCTTCCAACGATTCTATCCAGGGCCAGCACAGTTTCCCTATCATCAAATGTCACGGCATGTCACTGCTCCAATGTCACTAAAGCATAAATTGCTACAAATTTAAGCATGTATTAAATGTGGATTGGTGTGTATGCATGTTAGCATTGAAGTAACTTTTTAGAAGCACCTTGCTAGGGTTATTTAACTCATTATGGTACTTCTACACTGTGTCACAAACTGGCTGCACGAGCCATTGAGTGCAAAATTTATACTATTTACACATTGATTGGCAAGCTTGGGGCACACAAACTTCTTGAACAGAGTGCAAACAAAGTTAAAAAAGTATAGCTTCTAATTATATAAGTCAAATGAGCTAACAATTGGACATAATAGCAATGAGTCTACAATTGCAATGAACACAAACTTAAGTAAATGCATGCTAATTAAGCAATGTCATCTGATTCATTTGGCAAATGAATCTGGCAGTTGGAAAATTTTGTACTTCCTTGTAATTAAGAGGTGCTGGATTATTGGCCAACTATGGTTAATCCATTTTACTGCAAATACTTTACTGCAAAAGTAATTTTCTTTAAACTGTCAAACAAAAATTTTGTTTGGTAATTCACTGTGGAAAAATATACTAAATAAATAAAGAACTTGAAATTTTGATCCTTTATTGAATAAGAAAAATTTTTTTCATTTTGTATATTTTTTTACAGAATACAAAGATTATATTAATACTGTTTAATGTTTATATATTCTATCCAAAAAGTTTATCCTAACACAGTTATTTTTTTATATGTTCTTTATATATATAAAGAAGTCATTTATAATTGTTAACTAAACTTTTCAAAATGAAGACAAAAGACAATTTATTATATATACAATTGTGAATGCATTTTTTTTAAAATTCACCTCATTCAAAAACTAAATAATTAAACCACAATCATTAAAAAATTGATTTTACATAAAAACAGACAAAATACAGTCAAATCTGATTAATTTGAACTTGATTGATTCAATTAATTAATGCTTCTAGTCCTTTAAATATTTTATTAATATTAATTTATTGTGATTATAATCTATTAATAGGACTTATTATACTGATTTAACTTGCAGATGAAATTAGGAAGATTGAATCAGTCTCTAGGTTCAAAAGGGAATAAACTTTTATTTGCATCTAGTGCATATACAAACAGGGTCCTCCTAATGCCCACAGAGCAAAGAGTTAAAAAAAATGTAAAGAGTAGCATGTGGTCTACTTACTGGTTTATAGAATGTAGACATTTTGAAGAATCTCTGGAACACAAATTATATTCATAAGTTGAATGAAAATATGATATTTACAAAGAATAAACACTGCTACACACTAAACCAGTGTTTTTCAACCTTCTTGAATACGCGACCCCTTTACAAGTTAAAAAATTCTGACAACCCCCCTAGGGCCATATTAAAACTATATCAGTGATTTTAAAAACTATGTATTTAATTTTCTTTCTGTTGAGACAAATTATTGTTGATTAAAATGAAAATTTCAGCAGAATCGACAATAATTTAACACACAAAGTATGAAACTTCGTTTAATTGTAACATTAGGCACATGGAACTGTTAACCTTTCTTTTCTTTTCTTTTTTTTTTTTTTTGGAATTTTTGAATTCTGAATTTTCAGCTTCTACTTTTCTGCTTTTTATTTCCTTTTGCAAATCAGCTCAACACTTTTTCCGCTATCATTTTCTGGGGTGGGCCGTAATTCTTGCTGAAATTGTAGTTTTTTTAATGTAGTGTAGGACCTAAAAACACTTGTCTTTTTCTTCTACCCGTGACCCCCCTGGGGGTCGCAACCCACAGGTTGAAAAACACTGCACTAAATTTGCAGAATAGTATTGTAGTTTTCAAAAGTAAACAATTTGGATTTAGTCTGGTGTTCAAATTAAAAAGATTCAACTGTGTTACAATAAAACTGAGTATTTTCTAATGATAAATGTTAAAACTTAAGTTCTGATTTAATAAATACAATACTTACATAATGCCATATTAATTAAACATTTTTTTTTTTACTAGAAAAGTTTCTATTTATGTTTAGGTAATATAAACTAATGATTCTGTATAAAATTTCAAAAATGGATTAATTTTCAACATTTGATGAATTATGTCTACATTTCAGGAAGAAATTTCTTCATTTTATATTTAATTATTATACAGATTACATCTGTTAGATCTGGTTTTGCTTTACATAAAGTGTAAAATCACAATAATATATTATTAAAACATTTATAAATTTACATATATATTATTTTTTGTGTCTATAATTATTATAGTATCTACATATTACTTATTACAATATTTAAACATAGTTACATAATATTTCATTTATGAAATAATTTTTGTGAGAAAAATTAGAAATTTTAACTATTCTAATACAGTAGACCTTCAATTATTCAATGCTCATTTGATGAGATTATCATCTCTTAAATAAACAGGCTATTACAATGTAGTTATTAAAACGTATGCTTCTAGATGAAAGTAGATTGCTCTAACCTACTTTAAATGATCAAAATAAATCTTTCTTACAATGATATCTAAAAGTATGAATCTTGTATACTTTCTACAGATAATATAAATCATAAAACCCTCACAATCCAGCAGGATTTAGTGAATGAAGTTTTATCACCATCTTAAATGGTCATCATCAAGTTCAAGATCTGATGACGACTGCTTAAGATACATTAAATACAGTACATTCAGTACATTCTTAAAGATCAAAGAAGTTAAACAAATTTTCATGAATCAGTCATAAAATAATAATTTTATCCAATCCAATACTCAATGTTGATGTTTCAAATGAAACCCCAACAAAATTCATAAAGGAAGGAGTTAGTTTACCTCACAAAGAAATGGTATCCAATGATATTGATATTGATGCGTCTAAATTCATTAATGTGTAAATTCTGGATTAAAAGGTGAAATGATACAAATAACCACCCATGTGAAGCAATCTGAAAAAATAAAAATATTCTGGATAAGACTGCAGAACAATCATTTGCAACTCCAATTTTAGAAATAGAAGTTGCATAAATCAAAATGTTGTAAATGAACTGGCTAAAATGTCTGGCAAAAGAGTAACATTTTTTATTTAACTTGCTCAACTTTAATTGAATAAAATAAAATGGGTGCATTTGTAAAGTGATTACTAATTTATACAGATAGAAGATTAACTGGTAACTTCACTATCTAGGATTTTTCTCTACTCATTATGGGTAAACGAGAGTCTACATAACCATGCCACATCCTAATTCTGCTAATCCACATCAAATCTGCATTCTTATTCTAAACAGCATTTTTCAGAAGAGAAAAAAACTCTAAGAATTGACTTTTTAAAAGAACAAAAAGCATATCATTACAATTTTTAAGTAATATATTTAAAATATGAACATAAATATTAATATCAAAACTGACAATGCCATAACTAAATTTTACATTATATAATAATATATTAAAAATTTTATTTAATCATTATTACATTAATTATCCCTTAATTAAAAATTGTTATCAATATAACAAAGTTACACATAAATTACAGTAAAAGCCCAATAAAATAGAGCTACACATTGCATATTCATATGTATATTGCAATTATATATAAATACCTTTATTTCCTAGCAATCATCAAATTTTTATTTACGTACCTTATCATTTAAATAATTTATTACTTTGTACATATCATTAATCATTAACTCAATATAAACTCTATATAATCATACCAAAACATAAACAAAGTTCATTAAAATCACTTTTTAAAATGATAATATTGTGTATTATATAAATGAAATATTTCATATTTAAATTTATCATATATTAAAATACCAGAAATTATTTTGGTTTTTAATAAAAAAATTTCATAATTAATCAGATAAATTCCCTACATTTGTATCAGATATATCACTGGCAGCAGAACCATCATCTTTTGAATTTGATAAAGTTCTATTTGAAAGTCTATCTATTAAAACAACTGAGTCTTCTCCCAGTACAGAACAGAGTTCTCGTAATCTTCGTTCCATTAATGGTACTCCCGTTAATTGGGCCTCTAACTGCTCTTTCTCTTCTCTAAGTGAAAGTCTAGTTGATGAGTCTAGTGGTTCCATTCGCCAGCCTCCTTCTCCATCAAATTGAAGTAGATGTGAGTGAAATTTCCTAAAAGATAATTATGCTGATTAAAATATATAAGTAACAATGAAAATTACTGGTTTAGAACATTATTTTCTATCAAGAAGATTACAATTTTGAAAAATCAGTTTACGACAAATTTTTCCTGACTATAAATAAATTTTAAATAGTATGTTTTAACTTTCTATTAGTAGTAGTTATTATTTTGTGTTAGAAATACAGGGTGATTCTAAATGAATGGAACAAGTTTGCATAATTAATACAAAGAACCAATTTATTGTAGAAAAACATGAGAATCATCAATGGATAGGAAAACTCTACTAGTTTACGTCAGCACTTGTCATGCATGCTCATGCATTCTTCTCATGATATGCAAAATGGTAAGCATCCAGGAGAAAGCATATACTATGTTAGAGCTAGCAAAGAGAATTTCAATTACAATGGTACAATGGCATTTCTGCATATGTTTTGGCAAAGAACCACCAAATCAGAACATTTACCATTGGTACCATCAGTTCAAAAAGATTGGTTCTGTGATTAGAATGAAAAGCACAGGACCACCACATTTATCAGATATAAATGTTGATGGAATCAGAGAAGCCTTCACGTAAAGCCTACAGAAATCCATGCACCAGACCAATTATGAGCTTTAGCTGTCCCAGATATCCACATGGAAAGTTTGTAAATAGCTGTCCATGAAACTATATAAACTGCAGTTGATACAAGCCTTGCAACCAAATGACAAAATTGTACATCATCAGCTCTGTGTGGGAATGCAAACAAACATGAAAAAAGATGAAGATTATCAAGGCACTTTTCTCTATCTGCACTCAACTAATACTCACACCTCGACACAAAAATCTTTAAAAATGCAACCTTTTTATTCACTTTTCTAACATTTTTGGCCAGTTTGAATGGCCTTCCTCAGGAACAGAAAACTCAAATGATTCCAATTTCTATAACATTTGTTTTGGTGTCTAGATAAAGAATTACAATAATCTATATTGGTTACTTGTACCAATATACATATAAACTATACATACATATAACACATTTACTTTAAGCAGATAGGGGATGAAAGCTGGGGCTACTCAAAGGTATTGCCTGGGGTGAAAATGGAGAAGAATGATTTAGAGCAGGGGTTTTTCTGGGCCACATTGGAAGAAGTCATGGAGTTTTGGGCCACAAGCATATATAATGCTTATATAATAATATATTAAAAATTTTATTTAATCATTATTACATTAATTATCCCTTAATTAAAAATTGTTATCAATATAACAAAGTTNAATTTTTTTTGTCATCCAACACAGAAGTAACAGTAAGTAAGCTTTGAAGATATAATAAATTCTTCAGAAAACACAATAAATAGATTTTTGAAAAAATTAAAACAAAGTTAAAACTAATCAAACGCCAATCTTTTAATTTAGGATCCGGCGTTTTTTACATTAAAACAATGATACAAATTTTTTTTACAATAACTATACTATCCTGTAGCTATTTTGAGCTATTGCTTCGAATCCTCTGGTGGTGCTGTGAGTATTCACAAACAATTAAAATATGTCTACTTAATTTTCAATTGAAAATAATCTTGGGTTTTATGTCTTTATGCAAATAATACACGATTTTTATGCACAAATAATGAAATTTATTACTTTCCAACATTCCGAAAATGTATGAGATTCACGCAATATTTAGTTTTGACAGTCTTTATGCTATTATAGAAATTTTGGACAAAAGTGTAAAGTTAATGCAGCAAAAATTCACGCAATATTTAGTTTTGACAGTCTTTATGCTATTATAGAAATTTTGGACAAAAGTGTAAAGTTAATGCAGCTAAATATAAAAAAATTGTCAGTTTTGTTTACACGTTTATTGGGCCGCAGGTTGGACACCCCTGATTTAGAGGAAGAGACTGAAGGTGAAATTATAAAGAAGGATAGGAAAGGGGATGAAATAGAAGTCCCAAGAGCACCTGCATCACTTTTATTTAGAACAAAATTAAAAATTTATATTCAATTGTGGAACAGTAGTTAAGAATTACAGAAGCCCTAAGTGATGGGCACGCAAACATAATATATTTACAATACCCATTGTAGTTGCAATGGGGAAAGTGACAAAGTTCCTTATATCAAGACAATAAATAATATGTACAGTACAAACAGAATAGATGCCCATATTACAGAAGCGTCATAAGCAAGTGACTCTCACGCAGTGAATAGACAAAATGTTGTGACTTGTAATGGGAGACTGACAAGACCATTAACACAGGGCATAAAACAATGAGCATATGCTGAAAAAACACCACATGTTAAAAAAAAAAAAAGCTGACAACACAAAAGCGTGCCAAACTAGTGGTATGTGAACAAATGTATGAAACATTGCAACTTGCAATGGGGACTGAATATCCTCACTAAGGAAGAAAATAAACAGCGTGTACTAAACAAAAGTACCCTAGATGGGGGCTTGCAACCACTACGAATACAATACACATTGCAATTTTCAATGGGAGACTGGCAATTTCCTGCAAAGCAGGTTGTCCGACAGTTGGTTGACACTTGCAAGTATTTCCTGGTCTTCTTAATAGCTGAAGATATTGAAAGCCTGAGTTGAATGCAGGAAGAAGCACCATTGAAGACATAGGTTTAGTCTGTGGAGATGAAGATCGCATTGAGTGCCTTGTGGAGAACTCTTGAAATCACCAAGTATAGTTAGTCTGTGGAGATGAAGTTCACATTGAGTGCTTTATGGAACATCATTGACAACACCAAGTATATATATTTAGCCTATCGAGGTAAAATCCCCATTTAGTGCTTTCGTAGAGCATTTTTGAAGACACCAAAAATGTGTTTAGCTTCTGGGAGTGAAGGTATCATTGACTGCTCCTGTGGAATCGATGAAGATGTTTAGTTCTGTATATAAGTCTTTATTGTTGATGAAGGCACTCAAAGGATATGGCCAGTTCCATCCTGAGGAAAGGACCTTCTGTAAAAGTGGGCCCCTTTGAGTATCAAAAGTAGCACAGTCAAAGATAAGATAATGAACATGTTGTGGGGTTTGTCCGTTGCAATTACAGTAGTTACTGTCTTGAAGATGGAACCTATGGAGATAACTCCGTAGACTCCCATGGCCCGTGAGGAGTTGGGAAGTGGTATCTGAAAATCAATTTCAGATGTTTCCATTTAAGTCTTTCCTGGATTTTTGGTATATAGGAAAAAGTTAGCCTTCCTGTTTTTTTTTCCTCCCACTCTCTCTGCCAAAGAGTAATAACTGTGTTGTGTAAAACGTTTTGGACAATGGTCTAAGCCAGTGATGGGCAAACTTTTTAAAGAGCGGGCCAAAGGAAAAGAAGAAAACTTTAGGCGGGCCAATATAATTGTAACCTAGCGCTGCATCTGAAAATCCAGGTGGCGCTATAAAAACATGTGCAGGCCGTCCGCCATATTTCTTTTTTTCTCTTTCGGCTACGCTACGCACGACGAGTGAATGTTCTGTACCGAAGCATGCTTGTAACCGATCGAGCTTTTACTCAATAAGTGTAAAACAAAAGTTTGTACATGATTGTAAATAAACGTTCATGGTGAGATATAAAGCTTCGGTTATTTTATATAATCAACGAACACTCAAGTTAAGTGGTGCATCAACCACCACAGCCTGTATTCTTTTTTACTCGTCAGATTAGGAATAATGTCGCGCGGGCCGGATAGAACATTTCAGGGGGCCGCATCTGGCCCGCAGGCCGTAGTTTGCCCATCACTGGTCTAAGCTATTCCATTAAAGATAACTTGAATTTCAGGGTCTGCAGCTTGCTTTGCAAGGCAATCGGTTTCCTCGTTTCCTTTTAGTCCGTTATGTCCTCTGACCCAGGTTAGTGCATAATGATTATTATTGTTATCATTTATATCTTGATTAATAATTCTTGACTGGAAACAGTTTTGATTATAGATCCTTTTTAAGGCAGTTTGGCTATTGGATAATATACAGATATGTTGACTGTTGATCTTTTGATTTTTGATGTATTTAATTGCTTGGTTAATGGCTACTAGTTCAGCTTGCATGATAGTAAAATATTCTGCAAGACAGAATTTGTCACTATAAATTGGCTGAGTAGGGTCTTTACTGTATACGACGAAGGCCGCCCCAATCTTTGTGCTGTTTTTAGACCCATCCGTGAAAATTTGCAATGAGGGTTTTGGTTCCTAATTTGATCAAGTTGTGGGATGCTACTGTGATGACTGGGATGTAATTTGATTGGTATCTGTGTGTGAGAAAGACCTCAGCATATCTGTTTCACGAGATCAATGTTCAGATTCGGTAGGAGTCCGATTTGAGTATATTTCGACAGGTCTCCAGGCTTGTTGAGATCTAAGTTGTTCAGATGTGCCATTGCCAAATGATTTCTTTTACTTTCAGATTTAACGGTTTAAGACCAGTGAGCATCCGAAGAGCAGCTGTGGGTGCTGTCCTATAAGCTCTGGTCAGCCAAAGAAAAGAAAGCTGTTAGACTTCATTGAGTAACTTTCAAATCCTTACGTTGTCAATCACACTGCCCCAAAAAGGAACACCATAGAGGAGGGAAGTCTCTATGCAGACTGTGTATATAAGGTCCTAGTCCCCAATTTCTACTACTTTAAGGCATTGAAGATCTTGGTCGCTTTTTAGGCTCTGTCATTAATATGGGTAGTCCACTTAAGATTTTTATCGAATGTAATGCCTAAGTATTTAAGACTGATCATGTTTTTAATCTTGTTGTTATTGATAGTGATCTTAAATGGTCTTTTCAGTTGTTTCCCTTTGGAGAGGACCATATTTTCGCATTTATGATAATTGATGGTCAGCTTATTGTTGCGCCACCTGTAACAGTATCAAGTATCTGATTTGCTTCCTGAAGCTTTTTGTTGTTTTTGTTGGAGAAAATAACCAGGGTGTCATCAGCGTATCTTGAATTATATAGGGGATATGCTGATTGCTATTGTTCAAGTTAAGCAGGCCATTGTATACAATGTTCCACATCCCTGAGCCTGAGC